GCAACAGAAGCTGATAAGGGTGGTGATAAATCATAGCACTACTGGTACCAGCTTTGGGTTCCTTTCTGAGAACACTCGCCAGTTTTAGATTTTTCCCACTATTCAACGAGGCTATTCCAGGAAACAGGATTATTGTTTCCTTTCTTCGCAATCCAATTTTTTTTCACAGGATGACTGTGTTGAGACTGGACTGCATCTTGCATCTTTGCATGTGTAAAAGTTGTCAATGAAAGATACTATGCAAAAGTACTGAAGTTTTCTGGACCAAATGTGTAGTCATGCTTTTTGGAAACCGCCTTGTTTGAGCTGTGAATCCTGTAATATGTTCTAACCTTTTCTGCAGATCCCTCCAGGCCAGTAGAAAGAGGAATACTTTCTGGTATTGGGGAGGTTTTGTTTCAGTCCTTGATATTTTTTTTTTCCTCTTAGTTTTTCTGTGTTTAAGAATGGCAATGTATGTGGTAATCCTGGCACTGTGCTCTGGCGGCTGAGCCACAGGGATGCTTGGAGCAGTTTGTTTTAGAAAAGAAGGAATGAAGTCGACTGCTGCTTTATTGGAGGACTGAGACCAGCTCGTCCTCAAGTTCTCTCACACATTATTTGGAAAGATTGCAAACACCTAGAACGCTTACAGCTGAAACCAACTAAAACACAAATTCTCTTTTGCAATTCTCCGTGGCCTGATGCCTCTATCAACTCGTATACTTGAAATTCACACCACAAATATTTGATACACACAAAAGTCTTGTGCAGGGAACTTGAATAACAAGTCAAAGACTAAACATATTTATTACTCTGGGTACTAGCTTTTAGCCCAGAGCAGTGTGGCTCAATTACAGGATGGATCACATTTTTCACAGACATTCATGGTCCCCAGGGGATGAGTCTTTATTACTTCGATGATCAGCTGACTTTTCCTCTAACCTTTCCTCAACCATGACAACCTCATACAATGACACTTTTTTCTTTTAGTGACTAATTTTTTGACCAAATTCCTGCAAAAACAAAGACATTTGCATCAGCTTTAGAACTAATTGGCTAATATTAGTATGCCAACACTAAAATTAAGATGGCGTAAAGCATTTCAGCATTGTCATTATGAGCATGCTAGCATGCTTACGTTAGCATTTAGCTCAAAACATTGTGAAGCGCAAGCTTCACAGAGCTATTAGCATAGCTATGCTTAGTCTTATTGAATAATCATGACTTGGACCAAGCTTTATGAAGTATTCTTGCTCAAGAACAAACATCACTTCCTTGGGCTCAATGTTGGTAGGTTAAAACTGAAATTGGAATGATTTCAGCCTTGATACTGTAAGTATCATTAAATCAAGTAAAAATGGTTAGCCATGTGTATAAACTCCAGCAATCAAAGCCATTTTCCAGATACGGTAATTAACAGCAGAGGCAGAATAAAGAATAAATTAGCCTATATGGTCCTCATTATCATGGATACCACCTGCTGAAACACTTTTAACTTACATTTTTCATAATCCTATCTTTAATGTTAACCTATATACGCACTGCCAGCAAATAAGTGCTACTGAAATATTTTATGAGGCAGAACAAAACTGTTTTATTTTTATACTAGGTTTAAAATGAAAAGATTCTTTACCAACCCCATGAAGTTAGTGCAGCTGTATTAGAGAATATACATTGAAAGACAACAGCATGAAAATTATTCTTTTTCCCAGCAGCTACAGCTGTGAGAGTTAAAACAAGGCCGGCGTTTGATGAAATGTAGGCAATTAATGAGCTCCATCGACTCAAGAATGGCAACATCAAATCAGCCCAAGTCTTTGAGCTTGTTGACTTCACACGTGGTACGTCAGCGCCACAGCCATCCAAGCGATTACCTGAGACATCCAAACAGTCTTTTCAGCTTCTCGCAATGGAAGCGCTCCAAAGAAGAGGGAACTGACAAAGAGAGGAAGCAGGAAGCAGGCACTCAGTAGAAGATCTGCAGAGATGGTGGGTGGGGTAGGATGCAGGAAGTAAACGCACACACACACACACACACACACACACATATACATGAACACATTCAAATACACACACACACACACACACACACACTGGGGCTTACATGACAAGTCATTATCCGGCATCACCCAGAGAAGACAGAAGAGTTGCAAGAGGGAGGAGGAAGTTAAGTGAGGAGGCATGAAGGAAAAAAGAGCAAGCAATATAAAGGAAGAAAGGAGGGCAGAGGAAGAGGAGGAGAGCAGGAGAAGGGGGCGGAGGAGGTGGGGGTTTGGTCTTGATCTCTCAAGTGCAAGAGACATAACAGAATGGATTTCGTTGGCATGCATTTTGAGCAAAGGCACTCACTGCTGCAAATCTGTAATCACTCCTCCCATCGTCGTTGTAGACGTTGTATTTGAATAGATTAGAAATAGAAGAGAAATTCTAATAGATACAAACCGGATACTACACACTCTCCAACACTGCCAACACATCTTTGGTTGAATTAACATGTGTCATGGTGTATACCCGTAAATTCACAAACTATTTTTGCTTTCACGTACCTTGAAAAAAAGACTTCACAAAAATCAGAAAATGTACAAGATGTGACAAGAAGAAGAAGAAGAAAAAAAGAACAGTAAAGAAAACAGTGACAAGCTTGATGAGAAAAAACTGTATCTCACATTTTGTTCTGTTTTTTTAGATAGTTGTAGAAGTGTTTTGTTTATGGATTGCAAAAATTTCCACACATCCTATCAGAAATTGGCAGGAAGTTGAAAACGAGGCTGATTTTCAGACAGCTTGGAGATGCGTGGTTCTCGCAGGACGGCTAGTTTGCTGTTGGTGTTCTAATGATGTGCATGCATTTTTATGTAAGTTCAATAAGTGTCCGAGTGCGTGTGTCTGGAAATAAGTCATTGTGTGGGAAAGTAATGGGGGTGGATTAGAAGCATCAAAAAAAGAGAAATATTATTGGTTGTTAAGAGTACAAGTTCAAGTTACTTGTTATTCCAACTGTAACAGCAGAATGAGATGACATTTCTCTCTGTACCAGCACGTACAAAGCTTTTAAAAGCTGGGCTGCTAAGAAAGAGATTTTGTTGAATGGGAAGATTCACAATTCAGCTTGTTATGGAATATTTAAGTTGAATAGCTGTTTTTCGACATTACAAATGTGACCTTGAACTTCTGGCCCCAGGGGTGGCATCTTTTCTTCATTTTTTATTTCCATAGAAACTGGATCTGAAGTCTTATTATTTGTATTGTCATGTTATGTTTGTTAACACGCTACTGTATGGAAGTTACATGTTATCGTGGTGGTATTACATTGCAGCGTTTGTATGTTTTTCAATGCAGAAATGTAACAAAAAATAAATAAATGAATGACTATCTTACAGCTTATATTAGATTCATTATGGTAAAGGAGGGTTTCTATACATATACAGACATGCCATTAAAATAGCTACATGCTGTATGCACCCGGGCATTTTCTCCATCTATGGCCATGGCCACCACAGGTACCAGTGTGTGGATGAATCCTGATAGATCCCCATTACCCCAGGTGTGACCCCTCGCAGCTCAGTTCATTAAGCCAGCCACCCAAGTGTTCGGGACTCAAGTCCAGATTTAATCACACCTTCCATCCTCTTGCCAATCACAATTAGATCCTGATAAGCCTCTCCAGGATGGCACCCGAGGGCCTCCACACACAGACAAAGGTTAATTTGCAAGCAGCAAGGGCCCGGCTACAAGGCCAAAGGTCACCTGATTGAATACATGGAGGATGTGTGTGTGTAAGATGGGGGGGGGGGGGCCTTGGCAGCAATTACAAAGTTCATCAGTATTCATGCGTTTCATTTGTGGCTAATGGGTACATTACCTTCAAAGAGGTGGGCTGATAGGATGTGGCCCTTAATGGGAAATAGCTTGTGGGTAGTCTTTAGGTAGCTGAAATCTAAAAGTAATTTTTCCACCATTGTCTTTTAAAGTCCCTTCACACATGCAGTCACATCTGTGAGCTGCTCAGAACCGCTGCAGTGTTCCTGCGTCGGCTCCTGAGCAGCTCCACTGGAGCTGTTCGGGGTTAAATCCACATGCCTCCTGACATAAAAAGGACAAATTCAAAATGGCTTTCTCACTGTGTATCCAACGTGGTTAAAGTCGCTTAAACAAAAACACTTTAAAAAAAAAAAAAAAAAAAAAAAAAATCCAATTACACTGGGTTGTCTGTGCCTTTCATGACTTAAGCCCGGTCATTAAAGTCACACTGTGTAGCTTTTGGAAAACACGTATCCCCTTTCACTTTTTTGCTGGGTTTTGCTCTTATGGCTTCACTCTCTCTGGTGACTGTTGTAGCTAACTAGCTTGTTGCTAATGATTGCAAAGTAGCTTGTAGCTAGCTTGTTTGTTAACTAACTTTACTAAGTCGATCAAGCTAATAAATTTGGCGGGTCAATGTATGAGCCAACATTAACTTATTACAGATGGATCAGTGGATATGTCGCCTGATAGTAATATTGAATTGCAGAAGAGAAATGCCACACTTAGTTTGAGATCATTTAGTGCCACTTGAGTTGATTGTGACACTGTAAGATGTCTTGCATCATATGTATATTGGTCACAATTCATTAAAAGAAAAAAATTTCACAGGTCCATATCAAGATTGGTGTTTATTTTATATGATTATGTTTTCACAATTAGGTGATATATTGTTACTAGATATTTAAACTTGGCCCTAATCAGCCCATAAAAATCAAATGTTCTTGTTATGTATTTTTGTATGCAGAAAGTCTTGATGTAGATAAATACATGCACTAATACAGTACATGCACTTGTGTCAGGCGCTGCTGTGAGGCCCACTCCCTAGAACTTGGTAATGTTAGTGCTGTGCCAACTGAGCTACAAAAGATTTTGAAAAAATAACAGCAACATGTTACAGAATACAAATTTCTCAGAAGAGACAGACGAGTTTATTTTGCCCTGTTTATGATTTCATCTCTCTGACCTCGCATCCTGTGGTGCAATGTCATTTCCAGGCCAGCTGGCAGCGGGAACATGTGAGATTGTGACGCTGGACAGGGACAGCAGCCAACCACGGCGGACCATCGCCAGGCAGACGGCCCGCTGCGCCTGTAAGAAGGGCCAGATCGCTGGAACTACAAGAGCCAGGCCCGCCTGTGTGGACGGTAAGAGGAGGAGGAGGAGGAGGAGGAGGAGGGGCAGGGAGATCCCGGCTTATGTTTGAGCAAAAGCTTGCTTTTAATCAAACGTAAGCATGTTTTTTTCCTAAGGCATGTTCGACTTGCATTGAATCATGTTGCTGTTGAAGCACGCAAGGCAAAATGAAGTGAATTCTGCCAAATCAAAATGCTGAATCACGTCATCAGTCTCAGGGCAGTTAGGGTTTGGCTGTTTTTAAGTAGGGGCTTAAGGTGGATAAACCTACAGTGTGGAGCAAAGTGGATCACGGGGCTGTCTTTGTGATGTTCGTAAAGCCTGCGCCAAACCAATTTACAGTTGAATCATTTTAAAAAAGTGGCTGCAGGGGGGGTTCTAAGTCCCCCACCAACAGATGGGCTTATATTTCATGGAGTAGACACTGTTTGTGGAACAGTGTCTGTTTCAGTGGAGTTAGACTGCTTTTGTGTTATCATTATCGCTGTTAGAGCTAAATCAATTACTTGATTATTCAGTGAAGTGATTAACAGAAAATTAACTGCAAATTGATTGACAAGCAAGAATTTAAGTCTTTTTTTTCAGCAAAAAAAAAAAAAATCCCACATTTTCTGAAAAAGAGATTGAAAAAATATTTTAATCTATTTCTTTGAGTCATTGTAAGAAGCAAATATCAGCCCCTGCACACTGCCAGTAGTTAATTATGATAAATTTGAATAACTTTATAAAAATTTTGGTTAAGAAGGAAGTATCATAATTACAGGAACATGAATACATTTATTTTTGTTACTTGGATATATCATGTATTCCCCTATGCACCTGTCTAAATACAGTACATGTGTGCAAAGATCAGTTTCACTGTATAAAATGTAAATTTGTAAATATGTATTTCCAAAATGTCAGCTTTTCATAAAACAAAAACAGCGTTTCCAGCGTTACCAGGCCTTTTTACTAATATGTTAATGGGGTTTTAAATGGTTTATGACTCTTAAGAGGTGGGTGATATTTTACAACCCATAAAGGAAAAATTGAGAGTTGCCAAATTTGAAGATACATGTTTTTCACTGGGCAGTGGCTAATTATCTAAGAGAGAAGACAGACTTTTTGTGTACAGCGCAGAGGAAGAGGCTCATTAGTTGTTGCTATGACATCCTCACATACATCTGTGTAACGGGAAGAAGCTTGAACTTTTTTTTTTGTCCCCCCTCAGCCTGTGAGACGTTCCTCTGGTCACCATCTTACCCTCATGACAGCTTTTAAGAATTTCTTATCTTTTTCTGACATCTTCATAGCGAGCCCGCAGCCTCTCAGGGTGCCTGTCACTGAGTCTCTCTCACATGATGTGGCCTCTAGCCCTGGGAGGGGAAGGGAGGGGAGGGGAGGTTATGTGCGCAGGTGAAGGCAGAATAAACAGCTCTGTTTTGCTGGGAAAGACCCGCGGTGAACTGCACCTGAAGACGTGGATGTCTTGTTTTTCTCTGTGATACAACTGTGCCTTCACAGTTGTGTCTCTGATTGGAGGTGGTGCCCGTCCTCAGTGCTCTGTTTGACTGGTTTTACCTGCTGATCATATGAGGTGAAGGCTTTGCACCGAGTGTGAGTGGACGGAGGGTTGCGCCAGTTTGTGTGGCAGATGGAGCTGAACATTACAGATTTGACCTTTTATCCACTTTCTTTTGTTTTTTTCCTTTTTTTTTTTTTCCTTTAACCAAACTCCTTCACACTGAGATTTGTGTGCTTGGTTTGAGTCCTGTAAAGAGAAATCTGATCTCGTAGACGCGACCACAAGCGTTCCAGTCACTGCTGTCTCTGCTCATGACTCCTTTGCCGGTGAATAAGTCATACAGATGTTGCATAAATCCACAGTATCCAGATACTATCAGGAGGTATTTGTCACAACGTGGGCTCCGTGGAGCACTGTGGCATTTTGTGTAGGCTAGATACTTCTCTTTTTCTGAGGAGAGCTTAGGCTTATCAGCTAGCTTTTTAGAGACCTGTGCAGGTGGACGGCAGCTGTAGAGGTTCACAGTGCAACCAACCACCAGGCAGAAAAAAACCCCAAAAAAACCTGAAAATCATTTCATATAGTTGGTATTTCTTTGGATAAAGGCAAATAAAGGCACTATTTTTGTGGAGCACATTTCATACACAAAAGCAATTTTAAAGTACTTTTTTTATTAAAGTACATTTTTTATTATAAGTGTAAGTGTAAGGTGGTGGTTGGCAAGATGAAAGCTTTTAAACTGCATTTAAAGTTAATGAAAGTCGTGTATTTTGATCCGTTATTGAGAAATCCATAGAAAAGCAGCAGTACTTGAAAATCTGGAAGTGAGTACAGTCTTTGTTAGGATGACCTTGAGTCATACATAAGATCTTTATTCTGATGCTCTTTTTTTTTTTTTTTTACTTTTTAAAAAATGATTTTTTTTCCAATTTCAAAAATTTATTTCACACAAATCAGAATAAAATCAGAACCTTGTGAATGGAGGCCCAGTCACTTTCCACACATTGCACAACCTTTTTCTTTCTATTTGAAATCATTTTAGAGAAATAAGTAACTCAAATGCAATTTTGGTTTACATACAACAATATATATTTTTCTATTTTGAAATATGAGTATTAGCAGCAGAAGTGGTGCTGCTGTTTACTCCGACAATCAAAAGACCTACGGGTCAGTGTGTGGCTGCGCTGCAGATCATAGAGATGTGACTGTGAGCAGGGCTCTGTGTGTTATCCCTCCAGTCCAGGTTTGGATACTAGTGGATATGCTAAGGAAAAAAATATCTTATATGAGTATATATTTAAAAAAAACAAGGCCAAATAAAGTCATATACAGTATTAATCATACACTGTAGGTATAGCTATTGCATTATCAGACATGTTGATGCACATCACTGTCCATCTGGCAGAATAAGGCTGCAGTGACTCATGTTAATCTTTCATGGCATAAAGGAGACGTTTGGTCTCTGACTTCAGTCTTGTAGGCTGTGAGTCAATAAGAGTCTCTTCCCTCTCTTTATTGAGGGGCATGAAATAGATCAGTGTAGACAAAATACCAGTAACTAGCTACAACTATACTACACAATGTTTTTATCTGTGAAAACACCAGTTATGCAAATTAACTAAGTAGATTTACTCAAGTACTGTACTCTAATACAACCTTAAGCTACTTGTATTGGAGTCTTTCTCCTTCGCTAAATTTATTCAACAGCTACCTGTTCCTTTGCAGGCAAAGGGCTTTCATTCAAGAAAGTGAACTTCTTATACAACGGGTTATTCTACCCAAGAGCAGTAAGCATTAAAATGCAGTTTTTATGATAATGCATCAGACATAAGAATCCAATAATATATAGTAATGCAGCTGTTAATAATATATCTGTACAGTAATAAAACTGTTAGCCTTTAGTGCCTCTATTACATAAGTAAAACCTAATTAAGGTGATAATTACGATGATTAAGGTGGAGGGGTTGGGATTGTTTTGGTTTTTAGAGTTTAATAGATGTGTGTGTGCATATTTTCTGTCTGATTGTAATTTTACTCTTTCCTCCCATATTGTCACATAGCTCCCAATCAAAACACACGCACACACAAACGCACACACAAAGGCACACACACACACACATACACACACACACACACCTTTATTGCCGTTCATATCACAAAATCCCAGAGCTTGATATTATTGCCATGCAAATCTGAGATGCTTGTCTCCACAAATGCAATCTTATTTGTTTATTCAGACTCAGGCTCCCGTCACTTTGGGGACACTGACAGAAAGAGAGAGAGTGAGAGAGACAGAGAGAGCAGGCATAAAAGACCCCAAACGCCACAAATGGGATTTCAATCAGTTTTAATCTACTCGAGTCCTTGAGGTCTGCTCTCTGTTGTAATATGCCTTTGCCTTGGCTGACACGATCTGTGTCCTTCATGCTTCACTCTCTGTTCACATCGGTCATCCCATGCATGCAGGATAATCCATAGCTCCATCAGCGGTCTCACCCGGCTTCCAGGGCAGTGTGTGGTAATGAAAACAGAGCGAGTGCTGTAGTGCCGTTGATCCCGGAGAGCCACTCTTTGTTGTTGTGCATTTCCCATCTTCCAGTGTCCCTGTGTGTGTGTTTATTGCTTTGAGGAGGTGAAAATGGGAGATAAGCCGTCGACATGATAAGCTTTCCGCGGCCGCGCTGTTTGACGCTCGAGTCTGTAAGGAGACGAGTTTGGAAATAATAATAATAAAAAAAAGAAAGAAAACAAAACCTTAAAGAATCACATCTCTGCAGCTTGAAATGCTCCCTCTGACCCCTTCTCTTTCTTCCTTTATTATTTTTTCCTCTCCACTTCTGCTCTTTGCTTCCCCCCCCCCCCTTTCTTTCACACACACACTCTCCCTCTTATAGCCTTTCTCTCTCTCTCTCTCTACTGTATGTCTTTGATGGCTCTACCCATTTGAGGCCCATATCGCAGCCTAGGACTGCATAAGTACACCCTCGCACATCTGCAATTTCATGCTCTTGAGCTCTTTTACCTCTGTGCTTGATGACTTTTAAGAGAGCTGATATTGATTCTTATTAGGAGAGGGGGAGAGACAGAGAGCGACTATTAGAGAGAAGCAGAGAGTTACCTGGCAGCGGGGAAAGAGTGACAGAGCTGCAGAAAGGGAGGGAAACTCCAGAGAGACGTAGAGGAGCTGAGGGTGACTGTGGATGTGGCGATGGCTGTGACAGCTCAGCAGGGGTGGGTGGGTGGTTTTGGGGGGGGGGGGGGTCCCTGCCCGAGGTGAATGTGTTTGTGTTTGGTCTACTTTTGCCGGGACGCTGATATTGATGAAAGCCTCATAGGTGACCAGTTTAGAGGCTTAGGGCTGCAGATAACACTTTGACTGATGGTGAAGGAATCAGCGTGTGCGAAAAGAGACAGAATGATACATTAACACACAGCGGTGGACAGTACATTTACTCAAGTACTGCACTTAAATAAAATAAACTGAGGGAATCAGTATTCTATCTGCGT